GTACAAGACCCTTGGTTGGTGCAGTTGTGAATGTTAGTAAGAATTCTGTCTACTTTCGTCTGAGGGAGGCTAGCTTGCATAGTCGCGGAATTAAGAGTGATGCCTAAGAAAGTTATTTCTGTACTGGGACCCTCTGTTTTGTTTGGAGCTACTGGGACTCCTAAGTCATTAAATAGGGATAGTGCATTACTTAGACTATGTGGCGTGTAGTAGCTAGGCTCGATATATAAAAAGTCATCGAGGTAGTGAATTACTACTGGGCACCTGGAATTGTTTAGTAGTAGCCAGTTTAAGGTTTCTGCGAATATATCGAAGATTTTTGGGCTACTTTTGGAGCCGAAGGTCAGCCTGGTTGCAAAATAATATTTCCCTTCCCACTTAACACCATGAAGGTGCCAGAGTGACTGTTTAATTGGTAAGAGTTTGAAAGCGTTTGAAATATCTGTTTTGCTCAACCAGGCTGCCTCGCCCGAATTGATGATAGCTTGTATGGCGTCGTCTATTTTTGCGTACTGCAGTGAAAAGTCTTCTGACGGTATGAGGGAATTTAAGCTTGGGGCTGTGGAAGTATGAGGTGCTGAAAAGTCGATTATTAACCTCTTTTTATTGTTAAACTTGCCCGTGGCTATACCGAGTGGACTGGTTCTCCAGGAGGTGAAGGGTGGAGTAGTAAAGGGACCTATCATGAAACCAAGTTCAATTTCTTTATTGAGGAGATCCGTTAAAGTGACTGGGTCTGTAACAGCTGATTGTAGGTTGGGGCATTCTAGTATGCCTGAAGGGAGTGCTACCAAACCTGTGTGAAAGCCTGTCGTGAAACCTGATACGAGAAAGTCTGTCAAGTAAGAAGAAGGATGTACAGTCAAGTAACGTTGTAAATTGTTTACGTTTATTGGGGTCATAGCTTTTTTAGGGAACAGTTTGTTTGGACACATGGTTTTCGCATGTGCTCTGAAACAGATTGAGCAAACATGAAGCAATCTACAAGCACTGTAACTACAGCCTCCTGCGTTAAAGTTGTTACAGACTTGAGCTTTCCCGAGAAATACTATAGGTCTCCCCAACTTATCTTTCATTTCCCTTTGATTAGGGAAATAATCCGGACTGGTACTACTATTAGACGGACCACTTATATTATTTGGACAGAAATTTGCCGTATGAGACGCTGAGGCACATATTGCACATGCTGGTGTTTTAAGCCCGGCAAAATGTCTACAGAATAATTCTGTATCCAATTGACTCCAATCGGTGGGGGTGTTGAACTGGGCCAATGATGCAGCTGACTTGGCAGTAAAGGACTTATGATAGTCGTAAAACGCGTACCCCCCGTATTTATAGGCTAATTCCACCAGTTTGTGCAGATATAGATCCAGCTCTTCTCTACGGTGTGGGAAGGCAGTGCAAACTACGTCTCTATATAGGCCAAAGGCTAGTACAAACTCAGGAATATTAAGTTTTTTGTTGAGCCTAGGATCTCTAGTTTTCATTACCACGGATATATCGCCGAAAGTATAGGCTCTATTTTCGATTATATCCTGTGAGGCAATGAGGAGAGAGGCTAGATTAACATCTTTCCCTTCTAGTATATCTCTTTTTAAGTTTTGTGGTATCAAATGTACTGGGTTTATTATATTAGATGTTTTAGCAGGGAATGGGTTGGAGTTACCTCCTGAGCTTGTTTCTGGTTGTCCTAGTGGGACTTGTACTTCCGGAATGCTAGCTTGACAAGAGGTTTCCAGATTATCTAATCTATTATTTATGGTAGCTACTGAAGCCACCAGGGAGGTCATCATATTACGTAATTCTGACAAGCTATTTTGGATCGTAGCATCGGAACTGGGGCCTGGTAACTCTACGTCTTGCGAGTTTAATAAGCGGAAAAGTTCAGCTTTTCTGGCTGTAGCCGGAAAAGGAATGTTCCTTTTATTCAGTTCAGCAGTGATTTTTGGGACAGTCCAGGATCTGTAGTTGGACATCGTACTGGACTGTCTTGGCTGACTGCCAGGTCTGGAGGGAGTGCTGGCAAGTGACAGGTCTTCTTCTTGAACTGAATCGTTAGACATGCTATGGGCGTGAAAAGAGATGTTATGTTAGGAGGAAATAACTTTTTTTTTTTTTTTTTTTTAAGTGAGTGTGCTGGCTGACTAGCTAGTGCCGCTCTGCGGCGAAGCAATTACACTAAGCCGGTGACTGGTGAGGCCCTGCTAAGTGCCAAGCGGCTTGAGAGGCTCTATCTATGAGTTGGCGCGAGGGAATTTCGTGGCCACCGAACGTTGTGGCGGGGTGTTGGCCTCTCGATGAGTAGTAGTCATAAGATAGAATGGGAGTGACAGGTGAGGCCCTCTCTATGCCACGTGCGAGGCGGCTACCTATGGATTGGCCCGAGGGACGTAGTACCTCTGAATTGAGGATGGGTGTTGGCCTCGCGGGACCACTATTTTAAGGCGAGAGAGCCGGGATGATATTTAACACTACTGGGTTGCTATGACCTTAACAGCCAGCCACCTAAACTACGAGGGATGATACGTACGAAAAAGAAATAAATAAACGTTCGTTATCCTTACCTGTATGTGAACTTGGTACGTACTTGAGTCGCACTAATGAGTTTGTATGGTCGGGTGGTATATATTTTTTTATTTTTTTTTTATTACCCGAGCTGAATCACCTATTGCAAAAAAAAAACAAATGGGAGGCGTAAACTAGGCGAACTTGCTAATAAAAAAAATATTTTTATTTTTTTATTTTTTTTTATATACACACTAACCGGACCGTGAACGTGAAAACCTGCGTAAATTGGTAGTACTGAATGACTAATTGGATTCCTAGAAAGGAAAGAATTGTTTATAAATAGCGTACGTGATACCAATTCGTAGTAAGACGAATAACTGGGTAGTTGTATGATTAAATTAATGAGCAAGTGAACTGAGCTCTGAGTAATGCCAGTGTACTGTCTGCCCTCATATATATATATTTTTTTTTATTTTTTTTTTATTTTTTAACTTAGGTTTGTAAGCTCGCAGCTACTACAAATCACTGACCCAAATATTCTTGATACACGTGATGTGTAAGAGGTCATAAAATGGCACCTGATGTATTTTTTAATCTCTACCCAATACATAATCCCTGTTTAATGCTTTCATTAATGGAGAGGTAGAAGTATGAAAACAGCCAACGGTGGCTATTAGGCTTACTGGGAGAGCACATTTCTAGATTCGAAAGATTCTAATACTGCATGTGCTAATAGACAGCATGACATGCCATGTACACATAATAAATGTAAATGGTTTTATATGACACGTATAAAGTATGTAACATAACAGCATAACGAAGAAAACAAATACACGTATATTCTAGGTAGAAAGAAACAGGATGATACAAATTGTAATCGGTATGCCCCTTTTTTCGAGAATGAAACAGTAGACTGAATCAGATATAGGTCAGTTTATTTTGGAATAAACATATTAGAGATTATCACGTGCGGAACCTACTTATTTCATAAGGGGAATCTCCTAAAATATTTGAATAGGAGAGCTAACACTCTCAGCAAAGAAATGGTGTCCAAGGCCAGATAAAACTACATGGGAACACTTTAAGTACTCTGGTCGGATCAAATCTTACCACGGGGCAAGCAAACTTTAGTTAAAAATATCACTTATTAAGTCACTTCTTCTTTCTCTGTAAGTGACAGAACATGCAATAGCTGTAAGAAAACGAATGGCAACCCCTCCCCTGTAGAAAACCCCCATGCGACCAGTTGCTTAATCGAACAGTTATGAGGACTTACAGTTGTTGTAAATCACCGAACGGAGCCGTTCGTGAGCTCTCACTGAGACGCTGGACGTACTCTCTGAGCGACGCGGGAGAGTGACGTCAGAGGTCTGCGCGCACCGGAAGCGAGGAGACGGATTTCCGGAACCGACGAAGACAGGTAAGTGAGGGTTCCTTGGGTTTAAATAGGCCTAAATCCCTCCCACAATTACAGGCATACGCCTTCTATATATATATATATTTTTTTTTTTTTTTTTAATTGGGGTAGCCCCCAAAATATTGGGACATATAAAAAAGACAACTCTGTTCCGCAGAGTAGCTGTTGACATTATAGTTGCGCAGGCACTTTGTTGACTCTAGAGAACCTCGGGCCAATCGCACATCCCTGTGACAGCGACTTTGCATTTGGATGTCACCCATTCTCTTTAATATTTTTATTAGTGATATTGCAGAAGGTCTTGATGGTAAGGTATGTCTTTTTGCTGATGATACTAAGATATGTAACAGGGTTGATGTTCCAGGAGGGATAAGCCAAATGACAAATGATTTAGGTATACTAGAAAAATGGTCAGAATTGTGGCAACTGACATTTAATGTGGATAAGTGCAAGATAATGCATCTTGGACGTAAAAACCCAAGGGCAGAGTACAGAATATTTGATAGAGTCCTAACCTCAACATATGAGGAAAGGGATTTAGGGGTGATTATTTCTGATGACTTAAAGGTAGGCAGACAATGTAATAGAGCAGCAGGAAATGCTAGCAGAATGCTTGGTTGTATAGGGAGAGGTATTAGCAGTAGAAAGAGGGAAGTGCTCATGCCATTGTACAGAACACTGGTGAGACCTCACTTGGAGTATTGTACACAGTACTGGAGACCGTATCTTCAGAAGGATATTGATACCTTAGAGAGAGTTCAGAGAAGGGCTACTAAACTGGTTCATGGATTGCAGGGATAAAACTTACCAGGAAAGGTTAAAGGATCTTAACATGTATAGCTTGGAGGAAAGGCGAGACAGGGGGGATATGATAGAAACATTTAAATATATAAAGGGAATCAACACAGTAAAGGAGGAGACTATATTTAAAAGAAGAAAAACTACCACAACAAGAGGACATAGTCTTAAATTAGAGGGACAAAGGTTTAAAAATAATATCAGGAAGTATTACTTTACTGAGAGGGTAGTGGATGCATGGAATAGCCTTCCAGCTGAAGCGGTAGAGGTTAACACAGTAAAGGAGTTTAAGCATGCATGGGATAGGCATAAGGCTATCCTAACCATAAGATAAGGCTAGGGACTAATGAAAGTTTTTAGAAAATTGGGCAGACTAGATGGGCCGAATGGTTCTTATCTGCCGTCACATTCTATGTTTCTATGTTTCTATGTTTCTATGTTTCTATATCAACTTTCGATTCCAGTTTCTGCGCCTACCATGGTGACTACGGGTAACGGTGAATCAGGGTTCCATTCCGTACAGGGACCCTGAGAAATGGCTACCACATGCAAGGAAGGCAGCAGGCGCGCAAATGACCCACTCCCGACGCAGGAAGGTAGTGACGACAAATAACAATACAGGACTCTTTAGAGGCCCTGTAAATGTAATGAGTCCACTTGAAATCCTTTAACTCTGATCAATTGGAGGGAAGTCTGGTGCAGAGCCACTGACCTGTGCGTGCTGCAGTTGAAACTCCACTATCGCCTGCTGCTGCTCGCACAGTCTCATGAGGCAGTGAGCGGGAAGGCCGAAGTTACGCTGCAACCCATACAGGCGAGCAGCAGCAGGGTGAGAACGCCAAAAGTGCACACAGCCGCTACAGTGAATGTCACATCCTGTTCCAAGTTGCGGATCAGTCTGGTGATGGCTTCTGGTATCCAGTACTCTTTTTACTGAAGCTGCATTAGGGTCCTGGTATGTGGCCACACAAACGCTGGGGCTCAACACCAGGGGGTGTGCGGTTACCCTGCACTAGACCCTGCTAATCCATTCCCCACCGTGACTCCTAACTTCAACATCGGGTATACTGGGTCCCGGTCATCCGACCACTGCCCAGACAGTGTCTGGGTCCTGGTCACTGGACTGCCCACCTCACTGTGAAACTACGAATGGTTCGTTAAATCTGGTACGAACCCGAACTTTGCAGTTCGGGTTCACTCAACTCTATTATGGATCCTTTGATCGCTACATGTATTACTTAGATAACTGGTATTTCTCGAGCTAATACATGCTGATGAGCGCTAAGGGACGGCCACTCCGCTTTTGCACCCTGCTCCCTCTTATGCTGTGCTGGTGCCTCTGTGCGACCAGCGTCTCTTCCTCAAAAACTGCACACGTCACTCGCATGACCTTGATTCCATGTGGAGTCTAAGACCTCATCATCCTCTACATCATCTTCCACCCACTCCTCAACCCTGCCCTCCTTGCCGGTATGCACACTGCAGAAAGCCACAGCAGTTGGCACCTGTGTTTTTCCAGCATGTAAAGTCTGCAAAGGACATATGGAAATTGTTTTAGAATTGTATCCAGGCACCAGTTTTCCCTATAAACTGAGCTCTCAGTTTGACTTGTGAGGGTATTGCCCCAGAATTACAATATTGTTTAAGTACCTCTTACCTATTGATAACTGGTTTAAATATAGCAACTTGTTATCTGGAAGTTTCTAGTGTAGAAAATATCAATCTGTTTTCCATCACTTAGATCTGTGTAACAAGTGTTGTAGGTGTGAAACAATATTACAAGTGACCGATGTAGTAAATTCGAATCAAAGTTCCATTTGCAAAACAAATTCTCACCCATCTTCTGTGGGTTATTGCATTTTTAAGATGTAGACTTATTGTATCACACTAGCCATGCACATTCTCTGGCACGTTGTTTTGGTGTTTGGTTTTTAACTTTGTAGTTTTGTCTTTACACAATATAGAAATGTATATTAATCTTTCTGTATATGAAGCGATCACAATAACACTTATTTTTCCCTTTTTTTTAAAAAATCAGGCTACACAAAAATTGGTAATTCACAATATGACATCTGAAAAGAACATGAAAGGATGCTGTATGATTTAAAGAAAAGAGAACACACTACATGAAGGTCCTGTTCACTAGAGTGTGTAGTCATGAATGTAACCAGTAAAACGTTGTTTTCACAGCCACTGGTTGGCCCATACATATTTTAAAACTTGTTTAATTTTGTTGTAGCATGACTTGTAGATATGAAGAGCAGGCCCCAAAATGTACTATTTAGCAGATTAGCAACCAGAAAAAAAAGAATGTTTACCACTGCGCTGTAAGCACACTATTAGACACTTCTATTTGACTCTCAGATATGAAGTGCACCCCACTAATGTACTATCCCACTAATGTACTTTTTAGCACTCAAAAAATTTTAAGTTTTAAAACTCCAATGTAACCGCGGTATTTGAAGCTTCTATTTGACTCTCAGATATGAAGTGTACCCCACTAATGTACTAGTTTGCAGAATTCTTTCCTAAGCTGTACCTATCATTAGTAGGCATGGCTGTGATGGCTTCTAAGGGCACACGAGTCAAACGCTTGTTGATTGGCTGCCCTGCAGCCTTTCAAAACGCGCCATTAAATCACCGAACACCGAACTCCAACCCGAACATACACTGATATGTCCGTGTTCGGGCCCGGGGTCCGCTCAACTCTATTACACAGTCAAATAGTCATCTGCAGGGCTTTCCCATTTCACTTTGCAAGATTGGTTTGCTAACTCCTATGCTGCCTTTGTGACTGTATGGCAGGCAAAGAATGGGAATTCTCACCATTTTGGCATGCCATTTGCAAAAGTAGAAAACCAGTTGTATTCAAAAAATGTGGTACTTGCAGTATTTTTTAGGTCACAAACCCTGGCCAAAATAGTGTGTATATTTTCTCTTTTGTGCATTTTTCTAAAAAAAATCGGTATTTTCATTGATAAAATCATTGTAATTATATACTTTACAGCTCTAAAACACATATACATATTTATATTCAGCAATATCTCACAAGTACAACAGTATCCCCATGTACAGGTTTACAGGGTTTTGGAAAGTTACAGGGTCAAATATAGGGCTTAAAGAAAAGAAGGGGAGTGGTCAAGGATAGGGGTTTAGTGTAACACCCTCGTCCCGTAACCAACCCACAAAAAAAGGTCACCTAGACTGGAAAAGTAGGGGATAACCCTAGGGAATACAATAAATAGTAGAGAACTAAAGGTGTCACTTGAATAGAAAGTGACCACAAGGTTAAATTTCCAATCCACTCCACTAAGATCTTAAAGGAGAAAATAATAATAAATAAACAAAATAACTTTATTAGCAACTCTAAAAAGTACTAGGACAAATTAAACAGTGTAGCCTGATAGGAGGGGGAACAGCCCTGAGTGAGATGCTCAATAATAGATAGTCAATAATAAGCATACCACACTAGTTCCAAACAGGTATGGATTGGCAGTACGAAAACTAACTTATGTGTGTAAGCCCTCATGGAAGTATATACAGCACTGGTTACGACAGAGCCTAGTGTGATCTTCCAGAAGCAAAAACTAAAACGTAAAAGGAATAGTGAGAGATATGCTAAATGGTAAGAAAAAAGCACACAGGAAAAAAATATATAAAATGAAGGGTTGTGGGGATATTTATGGGATAATAATAGTAACAGTGAGAATTGCCCACTAATTCAATTCTCAGATCCCAAAGAACGTTTATCGTGTTAAGTGGAATGTATTTCATATAATTAATATCACAATGTATAAAAATAGATTTTATTTATGATAACCAATAATTAACAAATAATATTATGTGACATGCGTGACAATAATCAATGAATATCCAGTACAAAATTATATGCAATACAAAGAAATGGGTATTACGTTTCAATGGCTAAATAGCATTTCCTGTCAAGAATTATTTATGACTATCTTTAACACAGGCTGAAAGTGAAACTTTTCACAGCGAAGAACAGAATTCCTCAGAATGCAGCATAAGGTCGTAAAGTTTAGCAGACAGTTAGAATAACCCTTTCAATGCTGGCTAGATCTCCTAGGTAGTTAAGATCTATTCTTATGTAATTTTTAAATAAAATAACATTTAAACCAGAGAATCTACTACATTATATAAGCAGATTTTTAATTGTCTAAAAGATATCTATCTTAATTTAGAGCCAATCAATACACCTGGATAAAAACAGCGGTATGCTAACACGTGATAATATCACATCAATATATAATTATTCTTAATTCCACCTGCAGAATGAAATGTTTATAACTATATATTCTTAGTTAACTAAGATTTCTTAATATGGAAATCTGACCGTGCTTTATCCAGTCATATATAATGCTATTAATACATTTTAATTAATTTAATTTAATTAAATGAAACCAGTATAATTACCAGTGGAGTAGATAATTCATCCGATTGGTAGTCTCTCTGCATGGAGGTGTTGGTTAGAAAGTCAGTAAATTCTAAGTGTTAGAGTTTTAGGAGTAGAGTGTTATTCTCAGATGTTGTCCG